CTATTGAAAGCTGCTGGGGAGTCCGTGCGGCTTCAGAACGTGTACACTTTCTATATATGCTACACTCCCTTAAAAATGTAAAGGCATGTGGAGCTGCCCCGCCTGCTTGGCTCAGTGGAGACAGCGTAGGCCTGTGGACCAAAAGATCCCAGTCCAGGGCGAACTTCGGTCTCAGGTTCCTCCCGGACAGGCCCTGGTCAGGCCCCTGCAGGGGGCGACCAATTGATGTGTTTCTCTCACACTGATACTGCGCTTTCCCTCTCCCCTCTCTCTAAAAATCAATGGAAAAATATCCTCCGGTGAAGGTTAGAAGAAAAAGACACGTTGAGTCCCCCAAGATCAGAAGCCTGAGCACGAATCTTGGTTTTATTAAAGGCTCCCTCCCAATAAACATATTTCTCTCAAGGACCCATCTCAGGCCACGCTTCTTACACACTTTTGCCCGGGGCTGTCCTGTGATGGGCTGAGTGAAACTAAGCAGACTGCCTGGAGGATGGAAATAGCCATCCTCATTGTTAGCTAGGACAAGGGTCCTAGGGTCTGGGCAGTTCTAACTGCTATTTCCTGCTAAATGTGAACATGTAGCAGCATTCTGCAGATGCAGCAGTGAGCAGGTAAGAGGACAGGAAACTCAACCCTATAATGCCAACTGCAGAGAAGAAACAACATGTAATTGACCCAATAGTGTGCATAAGCAATGACTAAGCTTCCTTGCAGCCGTTCTCAACCTGTGGGTCGCCAACAATGAGAATACATCCTGCATATCAGATATTTACATAACGATTCATAATAGTAGCAAAATTACAGTTATGAAGTAGCAACGAAAATAATGTTATGGTTGGGGGTCACCACAGCATGAGGAACTGTATTAAAGGGTCGCAGCGTTAGGAAGGTTGAGAACCACTGACCCTAGTCTATCATTGAATATAAGTAGTAATCAGTTAGCAACTGCTCCAGCTGGGGCTGAAAGTGCCTGATGGGCAAGGCGTCTTCCTGCTTGAAACAACTAGCTCATGAAATGTCAAATACCAACTTAATCGTTCACAATTAGCTCACAATCAGACCACACATGCTCTCTCCATGAACTTTCCTTTTCTTTTCATTACACTCACAGTCTAATGATACCAGAAGAAATTTGTTTCAGGAACAGATTTACTGAGTGACAAATAACCATCCACACAGGAAGAAAGTTGGTGAGACTGGAACTAATTAACAGATTCATCACATGGTTCGGAGAAGGGCCTAGTTTTCCTAAGAGTCTGATTCCAGAGTCACAAACAGGACACTGGAGTGTGGAAAGATGGCACATGAGACTCCTCCATTAGGATTCCAAAACGATGGTAACTTAGGTTCAGGTCCAGTCAATTCAAAAGTCATAACAATGCTTGAAGATGAAGGGAACAAATTCATCCTAGGACCCTCCAGCTCCAGATAAGGTTAATCTACTTCTTCAATGGTGGGGCCTGTGGCAGCCCTCCCAGGTGCGTACCCAGTTCCACAGGTAGGCCCAGTGCATCCCTCCTGATAAAGTTTTGTAATGACTGGGTTACACACTTGCTCCAGTTCCTTTCTCTTATGATCAAACTCATCTTTGTCGGCCAGTTGATTAGCCTCCAGCCACGAAAGAACCTCGGTGCATTTATCCAGAATTTTCTTTTTATCAGACTCACTAATCTTACCCTTCAAGCCTTCATCACTCACAGCACTCTTCATGTTAAAAGCATAGGATTCTAAGGCATTTTTTGCAGCAATTTTCTCTCTCTGGATCTCATCTTCAGCTTTATATTTCTCAGCATCCAGAACCATGCGCTCGATGTCCTCCTTGCTCAGGCGGCCCTTGTCATTGGTGATGGTGATCTTGTTGGCCTTGCCGGTGCTCTTGTCCGTGGCTGTTACATTAAGGATGCCATTGGCGTCGATGTCAAAAGTCACTTCGATCTGAGGAACTCCCCTGGGTGCAGGAGGGATGCCAGTCAGGTCAAAGCGCCCCAGCAGGTTGTTGTCCCTCGTCATGGCCCTCTCGCCCTCGAACACCTGGATCAGCACCCCCGGCTGGTTGTCCGAGTAGGTGGTGAAGATCTGCGTCTGCTTGGTGGGGATGGTGGAGTTGCGCTTGATCAGGACCGTCATCACGCCCCCGGCTGTCTCCAGGCCCAGCGACAGAAACAATGTCATGGATTTTCGCCTTGTCTATCTTGGCGTCACGCAGGGCCTTCTCCACCGGCTCCAGCGTGCCCCTGAAGAGGTCTGCACACAGCTCTTCAAACCGGGCTCTAGTGATGGACGTGTAGAAGTCGATGCCTTCGTAAAGTGAATCAATTTCCAAGTTGGCCTGCGTGCTGGACGACAGGGTCCTCTTGGCCCTCTCGCAGGCGGTGCGCAGCCGCCTCACGGCTCGCTTGTTCTGGCTGATGTCCTTCTTGTGCTTGCGCTTGAACTCCTCCACGAAGTGGTTCACCAGCCTGTTGTCGAAGTCCTCCCCTCCCAGGTGGGTGTCCCCGGCCGTGGCCTTCACCTCAAAAATCCCATCATCTATGGTCAGGATGGACACATCAAATGTGCCTCCACCCAGGTCAAAGATCAGGACCTGTCGCTCACCCTGACCTGCTTTATCTAAGCCGTAGGCAATGGCAGCAGCTGTTGGTTCATTGATAATTCTTAGCACATTGAGACCTGCAATCACGCCTGCATCCTTGGTGGCCTGGCGTTGAGAGTCATTGAAATAGGCTGGCACAGTGATCACAGCGTTGGTGATGGAATGGCCCAAAAAAGCCTCAGCAGTCTCCTTCATCTTAGTCAGCACCATAGAGGAGATTTCTTCAGGGTAGAAAGCCTTTTTCTCCCCTTTGTAGGATACCAATACTTTGGGCTTGCTTCCTTCACTGATTACTTGAAAAGGCCAGAGTTTCATATCTGATTGTACTACAGGATCATTAAATTTTCTGCCAATCAGGCGTTTAGCATCAAAGACAGTGTTCTGAGGATTCATGGCTACCTGGTTCTTGGCCGCGTCCCCGATGAGCCGCTCGGTGTCGGTGAAGGCCACGTAGCTGGGGGTGGTGCGGTTGCCCTGGTCGTTGGCGATGATCTCCACCTTGCCGTGCTGGAACACGCCCACGCATGAGTAGGTGGTGCCCAGGTCGATGCCGATGGCCATTCCCTTAGCAGCAGCCATGGTTTTCCGAGGCCTGTTGAGAGAAAGTGAGATAACGTCTTGGCGAGTACTTCTTTAGTCTGTGTATTACTTTTAATTGTGCTAAGATACGCATTAATGCAATTTACCATCTGAACCATTTCTAGGTGTACAGTTCAGTAATAAGTTCATGCACATTGCTGTCCAACCAATCTCCAGAACTCTTTATCTTGCAAAAACTGAAATTCTATGTCCATTAAACAGCTTACCATCCCCTACTCCCACCAGCTCCTGGAAATCACCACTTTCTTTCTTTTTTCCAGTTATGCCTCAAAATTTTAATAAGATGCCCTCTACACACATTTGCTACTAAAAATTGAAACGGCACATCAAAAAATTTGTTACAATTCAAATACGTACAAGAATAAGGTGCATACCTAAATTGGCGTCATGTCATAATTCTCAATGATAATACCATTAGAAGGATCTCCATGTAATAGTCAATAGCTACAGCTACATTTAAATCTTGGGCCTCCCGATTGATTCAGATACGTGGTATATAATAGTCTCAATCCTTGTCATCCTTTTTTTTTTTAATATATTTTATTGATTTTTTGCAGAGAGGAAGGGAGAGAGAGAGAGTCAGAAACATCGATGAGAGAGAGACATCGACCAGCCGCCTCCTGCACATCCCCCACTGGGGATGTGCCCGCAACCCAGGCACATGCCCCCGACCGGAATCAAACCCGGGACCCTTCAATCTGCAGGCCGACGCTCCATCCACTGAGCCAAACCGGCCTCGGCAATCCTTGTCATCCTTAATCACAACCTTTCTTTCATTTCTTTCCGAACCCTTGCCACTGTCTTCACTCCACATCTCCTCGTGCCTTAACTCAGCCCCAGCCCGGACCCCTTGAAGTTTTTTCTGTGTCCTGCTGCTGGAGCGAACGTTTTGGCGGAAAGGAATGTAGTACTAGGGTTGAGAGTGGAGTCACTAAGGTTCTTTGCTAGCACTTCTGAGACAGCCTGCGTGCCAACTGAATCTTCTTCATCAGGCATCTGAGGAATCTCCCGGCCGACGGTGGGTTGAGCTGCTCTGGTGCGTCCACTGGAAGTCTAGTCTCAGCCTCAAGTTCCTCCTAGATTCTGTCCCCAAAGAGTTCAAGCAGAAGCTGATGCTCAAAACTCTCCAATTGCTACAAAGCAGCCCGGAAAGAACTGTATCGCCCAAACACAGGAAATTCCCAATTCCTGAGATCACCACTTTCTGGCTCTGAATTCAACTACTTTGGATAGCATGTTAGTGGAATTATACACTATTTCTCTTTTTGTCACTGGCTTATTTCACTCAATATAAGTTCGTCTATGTTATAGCATGTGTCTGATTTTCCTTCCTTCTTAAGGCTGAATATTGCATTATATATCCACATTTTATTCACTTACTCCCCCTAGGGACTCTTGGGCTGCTTCTACCTCGCGGCTACTGTGAATAATGCTGTCATGAACCCCGGGTACAAGTATTTTTTTGTTTTTGTTTTGGTGTACAAATATCTCTTCCAGCCCTAGCTGGTTTGGCTCAGTGGATAGAGCGTCGGCCTGCAGACTCAAGGGTCCCGGGTTCGATTCAAGTCGGGGGCATGGGCCTTGGTTGCGGGCACATCCCCAGTGGGGAGTGGGCAGGAGGCAGCTGATTAATGTTTCTAACTCCCTCCCTCCCTCTCTGTAAAAAAATCAATAAAATATATTTCTAAAAAATCTCGTCCAATCTCCCATGCTTTTTAAAAAAAATGTTTATTGATTTCAGAAAGGAAGGGAGAGAGAGACAGAAACATCAATGATGAGAGAATCATTGGTCCGCTGCCTCCTGCACGCCGGCTAGTGGGGATGGAGCCTGCAACCTTGGCATGTGCCCTTGACCGGAATCCAACCCAGGACCCTTCAGTCCGCAGGCCGATGCTCTCTCCACTCAGCCAAACCGGCCAGGGCTTCCATGCTTTTTGGAGAGACAGACACAAGCATTCTTCGTGGGAAGGCAGTGGTGTCACTGTTTTCGATTTTCACAGGTCCTGAGGCTATTGCCCTGTCCTCTGTCTCTGATGTACTTATTCTGAGGTGACTCCTGCTGGACTCGGACTATTCTACCGCCTGTCTCTGCAGACACAGTAATCGCCGCACTTGGGTTTCTGCCTCCCTGGGCTCCTCTCCCCTCCACTGGCGATTTGCGGGACTGAGTCAGGGGAGGTGGCGGCTCAGGCAGCCTCTATGTCTAACCTTCTACCTGAAACAATCCTGCTCTCTAGGGACAGTAACACGCCAGCTCCTCCGCCCCTTCCTAGCGGCTGAGACCATCCCGCGCCCCGAGCTCCTCAAAGCACCCCCTCCCGAGGCTGGCAACACGCCACACCTCCGACCAGAGGGCCTTCCAGGACGCCCCAGACCAGGACCCACCCGTTACCCCAGCCCTCCCGGGTCACCTGTTCTCCCGTCGCCTTCGCTCCAGTTTGGTAGCGTTCGGACTGCGAAGCCCCAGTCGGTGGGAACTCCCTCAACATCGATGGTGCGCAGCCGGTGTCC